ATATCTGATGTTTCTCTGGGAGACTTTAAAGCTCTGATAAATAATCCTGTAACTGAAGAGTGCAATAAACCAGACTTTGTGTTTTTACTGGTACTGTGATATCGCTCAACAGCAGACACAAAAATGATCTCGTGAGCATGACCACAACAGGAAGTCTCTGAACTCTTCATGCATGTAGATCTAAACCAGTGTCTGAAAGTGTCCAGAAACATCTCGTTGGCTTTGGAGCTCTTTTTTTTTTGTCCACCTAACTGAATTGCACATAGTACACATTTTGCTGTGTGTGTTCAAATGCTTACAAGATGAATGGATACGGATAAGCTAACAGATCTCAGTCACCCCATGGTAAACACAAGAGATGACCTCATGCTGCTGCTGTAGTGATTAACCTCCTTTTAGACTGTTAGACTTGTCCGACGGGTGCCCCTGATGAAGCTGCTGAAATATGACACAAACACTTAAATACTTTGTGGTTTTTCAGGGAATTTTTGGAAGTTGTGAAATTGTTTTAATTCACTAAATGAGGTCATTACTTACTGCTATGAGTTGATGTTACGTAAATCACCCATACCCACGACAAAAGGATTCAGTGCCTTCAGTTTTCAGTTGAACTTAGCAAAAACAATAGCTTTTAATTCCACTGTGCAGACTAATCATATTGTTTTTATCAGCAGGCTACATGTGTGACTGTAGTTATGTATGCACAGTTGTGGAACAGCGTATTCACATCATAGAGGTTTCCTGGCACACAAAGATCCAAAACTTGTGTGTTGGATAAAAGAAATAATAGATTTCTTTTGTTATTACTGCAGTAACCACAACGGATCGACTCCTCTGGTGCTGGCGAAGAGACGCGGAGTCAACAAGGATGCTATTCGTCTGCTGGAGGGGCTGGAGGAGCAGGAGGTGAAAGGCTTCAACAGAGGAGCCCACTCCAAACTGGAGACCATGCAGATGGCTGACAGTGAGAGGTGAGCAGAGCTGCAAGGAGAGAGGGTGGAGAACCAATCAGGACACATCATGCAGTCAAAGCATGATCTGTCCTGATTGGCTCTCTCCTGCAAAGCAGGTAGAGTTTCAAGCAAGACTTCACACAGCTTTAAGAGCAGTAATACTGACCCAGAGAACTGTTCTGTGCCTGCTTTAAATTAGACTTAAAACGAGATCCTCTGGAAGGGTTTATCTTCATTTTAGCTCCTACACTGATTGTGGGTTTTCTTAGCTTTACCACAGGAAAAAGGAACAAGAACAGAGTTACATGTGAGAGATAACAAACTTCTCTGCGTGTGTGTCTCAGTGCGATGGAGAGCCACTCCTTACTGAACCCGAACCTGCAGAGCACCGAGGGCGTCCTGTCCAGCTTCAGGACCACCTGGCAGGAGTTTGTGGAGGACCTGGGCTTTTGGAGGGTCCTGCTGCTGCTGGTGGTCATCGCCCTCCTCTCCCTGGGCATCGCCTACTACGTCAGTGGGGTCCTGCCTTTCTCCACCAGCCAGCTGGAGCTGGTGCACTGAGTAAAGGCTGGGAAGAAGGGTGCAGAAGAGGCAGTAAAATAAATGAATGAAGGTTTGCGTTCAGCTTTGTGTATAGAACAAAAACCCAGAGTTTTGTTTCCTTGTTGCCCACATTTGATCCTTTTTATTGTGGTCTTAACAACATCATATGATACTGTTAGTAAAGAGACGCAATTTAAAAAAATACTATAAATATTTTTAGGTGATTAACGAGAGAGGACGGTGACTCAGAGACTTCATGTGTGGCCTAACACCTCAACTCATTGATAGACTCATTTCTTCTTCCTCACACTTGTCATGTCATCCCTGTTTGCTCTGTTACAAGCTGTATATTGCTGATGTTTTGTATCTTTTCATTGTTTTCTCCTCACTTGTTATTTATTCAAATGTCTTTGGTGTAAATTTTACCCTTGCTGTCTTTATTTCACACAAATACCTGCAGCCTTTCTGGCTGGAAACAGTTTTGTCAGGATAACAGAGCCGACTGCAGAGAAACACCTGGACTGAGTTTAGATGAAGCTTCAGGTTTAACTGGTATTATGGCAGCAGATTAATGCTTCTTACTTTGTTGTATATTCATTTTATCTTAATGTGCTTTTGTTAAAGGTTTTCAGTGTTTATTCCTTCAAACATTTGAAGTCATTTAATGTGCAAAATGAATAAAATCATGACTGTAATCTGCATCAGGTTAGAGCGTCACTTTGTTACCAACACAAAACTTTATTGGCACACAGCAGCTAACCTGAGCTTTTTACAAAGAGCAAAGAAAACAGAGTGAAGACTGTTAGTCTTTACAAACAGAGCGGATATGACATACAGAACATACAGAACTTGCTCTCACCAATGGGGGAAAACCTTCAGCTGTTACTGATCTTTGATGATTCAGCATTTTAATGATCTGGGTGACGGTAAGAGAGACGTTACAAAGAAAATCAAACACTTGAGATTCTTGTTTGTACCGTAAATTGTTGGAAGACCGCAAATCAAGCCTTACTGGAAGCTTTTTCAGGTGTAAGCCGTACTTTCATTCAGTGATTGTACACATTGAGTGTACAGTCATTCGTACCCACCTTTTTGCTCACACTCATTTACAAACTTTCAGTTACCCCGTACCCACTGCTGTTGAAGATCTTTGAGACACACAGAACAATAAAAGTTTCACTGAGGAAGAAATATGACAATGTCACACTCTCACCCATGGCTGTTTATTGGCCTGTTTTTTAGTGACATATAGACCTTCCCCTGGATGTGCCCTGTTAGAAAAGAGAATATC